GCATTTCCATTTTGGAGGTGAAATCACTGACAGGCAAATTTACTATTTATGTTGGATGCTTAAAGAATTCAGAGATCTTTTTTTGAATGTTTCATAATGATTGGTGGATGATATTTTCAGAGATTTCCGAAAATTAAATGACTTATCCAAAGTACTGCTATCTTATGTTGCTTGAGACAGGAACATGTTCCAGTATGTCTGTGTGGGGAACCTTTGGCTGTATGTTCTTCATAAGCAAAAATAAAAATAAATCAAACCTAATGAATAAACCATTTCTAAGTTCTCCTTCAGGCTTCGCTTAATGATGCATAGCTTTTGCCTTGGTGAGGTGTTGAGAAGTCTTAGTAATGAGCTCACATTCTTATCCTCAAAGACGGGTTGTTGGTGACATGCAGAAGTGGTGCATCTGCCAACATACTCCTGAACTTTTCCACCTTAGAAGAGATTTCAAATGCAATCTATTGTATTCTGGGGGGATTCCCTTCGTACTACTGCTTTGTTAGTAGTGTCTGTTGAAATAAGACCACGTTTTAGCTCCCCTTTGAAGGGATAATTTATATACTGTGTAGTAAGCAACAATTATCTTGTCCTCATTAAAATCTTATCCATCCTGAGCAGGGAGCAAGTTTAGTGTTCCAAAAGGAAGGCATGCTGACGACCAGTTTTCTGAGTTTTTTTGTCATATTTGCTTTCAGATGAGACGTCTCAAGGTTCTGGGATCTAAACTAGGTTTTAAGTGTGTGCGAAGCAACCTTTTAAATGCTCTTGGCAAATGCAGTTTTTTTCATTTTTTGAGGAAAATCTCAAAGTTCTGTTTGTGCTTTGTTGGGTGGTGAGTGAAGCTCAGCTTCTGTGCTTTGTGTGAAGTACTGAAACAGGTAATGCCACTATTGCTTCACTTATCAGTATTACAAAGGTTTTTAAGATTGTCACATTGAGTCTGGGAAGTCATTGATATTTCTGGGGTCTCTTGGTTGGTCTAAACAGTGTTGCATGTTCTGTGTAGGCAGTTTCTCAGATTATTTTTATCTGGAACAGTTTATTGGGCAATCAGAATAATATTAAATGCCCACAGTATCTGGGACGGCCAAACAAGAGAGGGAGTGTAGCCCTTTACTGTGTTACAAATGAGTGTCTGTCCAAGGCAGTAAGCAACATTGGTTTTCAGTGTTCAGGAATTCGTATTTGATGTTACACTTCAGCTTTGCTTGTGAGTGTAAAACAAGCTGTGTTTTATAACGTGTGTGTGGCATCCCCAGATCCCTTCAGCATTATTCTGTTACAATAACAGAATAACGCACCGTGTTAAGTGTAGGGATGCGTTGCTTTGGTTTTCATTAATTCCTAGCAATATCAGTATTTTGTCATAAGAGCAAATGATTTTTTGGCCATCAGGATGAAAGTGGGAACAGTGTTTGTTTTAGGATGTGTTACTGTTCAGCATGTAATGGATAAAATGGTTTTGTGACAGTATTGTCCCTGGGGTAATTGGCTCTGATTAGGTAAAGATGTGAATCAATTCGGCATAAAATTAAGAATTTGTATTAAAGGAGAAAAACAGTATTAGTGAAATTTTCACACATTTCCAGATTCTTTTCACTCAAAATGTTGCAGCTGTTGACATTGCAATGGAGTGCTGCTGAAGAAGCCATCAGAATTAAAGCCAAAATGAAGCAAGCCTCGTTAGGTTTTAGTGCAATGCTACCCCCTTGTGGAACATGGTTTCCTTCAAATCTTCATTAGTGGGCAGGAAATTTTTCATTAATAGTATGTGATACATGTTGTGGAGTATGTGTACTTGTGTTCCAGCAGCAATGCAGAAGACCTGAGGAAGCCAAGATGATTATCTGTGGTAATTAACTGAAAATTCAAAGGGAATCTTTCTTGCTCTGTGATCATTCCCAATGGTTATGTTAGAAAAGCTGAACCAAAAGTTGTCATTGAATAGCAATCCAGGTTAAGAAGATTTCGTTCAAGGATTTTTCTAAGTCTTTATCGGTCAGAATTGCATACTGACTGTCTAAGCCTTTCTCACATGTTGTTTTGACTTTTCTTTTAAGTATGAAGTCAGAAACAAAAGCAAACGCACAGTGAAGCCTTCCATAGCATTTTTTTCTTTAAACTTGTGATTAATATGCGTGCATCCATTCTAATCTGACAGTCTCGAGCCTGTAATATGCCTGCTCAATTTGCAGTGTAAGATTAATTCAGGGAAATGCTGAAGCATAGGTGTATGGTGAACTATATGATATGTTAACGGGAGTATTTTTGAATGTTCAGGGGTTTTACAGAGAAAGGAAATTAACTGTGGTAATTCCAGTTGTAAAGATTAAAGTAAAGAAAAATGATAAACAATCAAAGCTTTCATAAGGAAATGAAAGTGTTTACGACAGAAGAAAGAATAGGGTCAGAGGAGATTATTGGGCTGAGTATTTCAGTTTCGGGATTGCAATTGAGATGGATGGGTGAGTTTTTGGCAGTCGAAGCTTACAAAGAAGAACAGGAAAAACTGCAAGAGACCTGAGTTTTGGTGGAATTGTTTTGGAAAGTGAAGAAAAAGAGTAACTGATGAAATATCTTTAAAAAAAATATGTATAAATCTAGTGAGAGATCTAGGAATTTAAACACAGGTTTTGTTCCCGGTCTAAGGCCTTTAATTTAATTGTGGGATTCATTTTTTTTTTTTTTTTCGCTTATTTCCTTTAGGAATGTTTTTCTTTGATTCACAAAAAGGTGTAAAACTGGCATGGTACCTCCAGTGCTGTCAGACCTTCCTCTTTTGGAAGGAGACAATGTGGTAGATTAGAGTTGGGTGTCAAACTGCTAGCTATGAGAGACCTAGAATGCTGCTTTTTGTTTACCTTTATTGTTCTTTCAATCTAACTTCATCAGCAATGCCTACATTTACACTAGTGGTTTTTTTTTTTCTGTTCAGCTGAGGTCCTGCACTTTTCAATACAATATTGATTGGAGGAGGCAAAATTGAGTCTGTTGTTTGAAAACCTTGTTGTACTTGTTTTAAGTACAAACAGTATATTGTGATTCGCATTTACGGTAGAACTCTTCTATAGAAAAATTAATGATTACAGAGTATTTTGGGGAGGGAAAGGGGAGACTTGTACTTCAGAATGACATGAAGTATTGTTATGAAGAAAAAGTGTAAAGGAAAAATTAAAAACTAAACAAAACAAAAACTGAAAATCACATTTTTCCTAAAATAGGAACTATCTGGATGTTTGAGAGAACATGTGACAGGAGGAGTTTGGCAGTTGGAAAGAAGCTGACATCTGCAATAAATCAGTTATTTTGAGTTTGAGGCAAAAAATGACTTACTGGAAAATCATGGCTTAATACCTCGTTTGGAAAGTTGCTAGCCTTTGACACAGACTGTGTTAAATTAACCTGCTTATTTCTGTATGGTGCTAACTTGCTGATGGAGTACTGTAGGTACTTAGTAGCTAGTAGGCAACAGAGACTCCCAGAGCTTGCCAATGGCTGCTAAGTGTTTTGTGTATTGGTAAAATTTGAATGCTGCATATGTAAAATTTTGTAGATCTCAACATGAAAATGAGAATAGTAGAAATTTTACAGTTAATGTGGAGATGCCCTCAGAAATTAGGTTTCTCTCAGAGTGCAAATAATAGATTACATTCTTTACAGTTAATGGAAGGAAATCTGGAGAAAAGTGGGTGAAGGGGAGAGATTATAAAGCTTGAAGGTGTTAAAACGGCATTCTGCAAATATAGTTTCTGGCTGTTAACAAAGAGATTGTTGAAGCAGCAGCTTCTGAAAAAAACTGTTCCGTGTTGAGTTACACTCAGGCTGGATATTCAGTAAGGCAACTGAAGACATAGCTTCAAGTATTCATAGCGATGCACAGTGCTTGGGTGCTGGAAATGAGGTAGTCCCTTAAGGTAGTACTGTAAGTGGAGAGACTGAAGGAAAAAAGAATAAAATAATGTCTGTTATTCATCAAAAAATGCAATTGAAATTGTTTTGATCAGAGAGATTTAAAAAAAAAGCATGATTGTTGCATTCACTCACTGAATGTGTTAAAGCTTTTGTTCACATGCTACGGAATAACACAACAAAAAAAGAACAGTTAATGAGCTGATGCAGGCTGATTTTGTAATTAACACTTGTCATCTATCAACTAGATTTAAAAAAAGTGGGAGATTAGAGAAACAACATCACTGTGGTCTCTTCTTCAGAGCTGCAAGTAGCAGATCTTAGCTGATGGTAGAAAAGATATGCCTGAAAACTTTGCCTGTAGTGTATGCATTGTTTTGGTTTGTTTTTTTTTTTTTTTTTTTGTGGAGGACTTTAATTTACAGATTGAACAGATTGAAAACCACAGGAAAAAAAGAAAAAAACCTTGGAAGTCATAAGTCTTACACTGACACTGATAGTATGACTGCCTCAGACTGCAGAGAGTGAGCTGTAGAGGGAAGCATGATGTAGGCATGAGGTGTAGCTTAACTTAAAAAAAAAAAAAAACAAACAAACAACAAAAAAAAACCCAAAACATATTTTCTGTTACTTTAAGTAAAAGGCCTTACTTTGCAACCTACACAAAATGTTGGGAATGATTATGGTGCTTCTGAAAAGTAAAGTATTAGGATATGTGAAAGTAAAGGCAGATGGGCTAGTGGATTTTTGTCAGTGGTGTCTTGTTTTGTTTTTTTTCCCCCTTGGTCAACCTGTGTGCTGTTCTTCAACAGTGAGACTCCTAAGTGAATGATCGAAGTACCAGTCCTACTATCAAATAAATCTGCCTTAAGCTGTGTCTTATCGTTTGTCCCTGCTTTACTTCCAGAATTCAAGATCTTTGTTTTCAAGAGCAGTGAATAATTAAGGATGCAGATATATTTTAAAACTGACCTGTGTAGATGTAAGCTACATTTTTCAGAGATGCTTTATTTTTGTTGTTGAGAATTGAAACGCATCTGCTTCATGAAAAAATGTTTGCTATTCTTTTAAGCAATTTTATTTGTTTACAGGTGTCAGCTGCGATGCATGTTTAAAAGGAAATTTTCGAGGTCGACGATTCAAGTGCTTAATTTGCTACGATTACGATCTGTGTGCAACTTGTTATGAAAGTGGTGCAACAACAACGAGGCATACAACTGACCACCCCATGCAGTGCATACTAACAAGAGTAGATTTTGGTAAGTGGTAACTTGAGAGTCAAATCATGTGTTGCCCTATTGTGTTAGTAAACATAATGTGGATTTTTCATGTTTCTACTTTACTTAAACGCCTTTTTTCCTATTAGCACACTTAAAAGATCACCTTCCTGTCTTCTAAAAAAAACAGGCATTTTTCTTTGATTCTTGAGTATAATATATCTTAGATATTTCTTCTTAATTTAGTCTCCAGCAGGTTTTCAGACTATAAAGTGTATTTGATAATAATGACTACTGCTGGCTTCCTATTCAAAAAATGGGGCATTCTTCCTAACTTAATGTTTTACTTGCAAGTAACACAGAGTGGAAGTTGAGAAATCCTGTTAAGATTCTGGAGACATGTTATTCTCTGCTGGTTTATATGGGTTTGTTGGTGCAGAAAAGTGATGACTGACTATGCTGAGTGTAAAGGACTAGGAACGGGGAGTAATGTGTAATTATTTTGGGATTTGTTTTAAGTTCCACTAATTGCAAAATTATTTCTGATAGCAAAACCACACCAGTATTTAAAAACACATTTGTCTCATACAACTAGAGTAAGTGGAAGAATGTGTGGCAGCAAGGCTGAAACTCAGGAGGTACTTCTGAATGAGACCTCTACTCTCAGATGTTGGTGATGTGGTATGTGAGATACACATTTATTCTAATCCTAGAGTGCAATCCAGCTGTGTTGTTTTTCATGTGAAGCTTTTCAAATATGATTTCCTAAAAGTTGAATAGGATCACTTCAAAGCTAAGGCTTTATGAATTGTAGGTTTCTTTACGCTCTTGATAATAACGGAAGTAAAATCTATTTCTTCATTGATTCAGATATTACAGAACAGCTGGATATGGGAATATACAGTTGCTTTTTTCAAAGCAGCTGTTAGATGTCTTTTACTTCCTCCTAATTCTCAGGTCTCTGCTTATCCTGAGACTGCCTTGTCTTGACTTCAGAAATCCAGGCCTTGGGATTTCAGGGTTTAGAAATCAAGATCAGATTTGTCAGAAATCAGAAATGCATGCAATTATTTTAGCTTCTCGGACTTTTTCTGAGATTGTCTGTCTTCTCAGACTTTTTTTGGTAATACTAATTAGTTAAAAGTCTCTGTGTGACTGTGTTAATTTAGAGATCTGGTCACTATTGGTAAAGCACAGTTCTGACTGATTTGCCTTGCAGCAATTGCTGTTGCTGTGTTTTACACATGAGCTAATATTTCCACGTTGCCGTGAACACTGCATGTTTGTAATGCGCAGGGAAAAGGGGGCTGAAATTTGTTTGCTGTAGAGCCTTAAATTAATGTTAGATGCCAAAACTGCAGAGAAGAAACCTTCTGAACACTTGCCACTTAAAAAATAATAAAAAAAAAAAATTAAAAAATTGCCTGTCATGAAATTGTAACAGTGTCTAGAAAATATATTTTGTTTCTTGCAGCTTGTGTTGTTCTGTCTTAGGAGTGCTTGATGAACAAGTGTGTCCTGTGGCTTAATGTATTTCATTTGTGTAAGTCTTATGTGAAGAATTCAGGGAAGTAATAGAAGGTTACAGAGAAGTGGTATGTAGTGGATTCTCAGGGCTACTCTTGCTTTATTTAGTGTTTGTGCTGCTATGACCTATTGAAATAAGAGGAGTAAATAAATTTTGTAAATTTTACATGACTTGATCTCTGAGCATTGTTATGGCAAATAAATTTGTGCATTTTAATACATTGCCAAAACACAGTCCCATGAACAGCGAAGAATGTGGAGCTGTGTTACCTGTTTTCATAAATGATTTTGAGAACAAGTGTCAGGATTGCTAGAAAAAATCAATTTTTGGTATATTTACAATTCTATTTTCAGTTGACATGAATTACCAGATTATGAAATCGAATATTTAGAGTTGTAATCAGACTCTTCATGCCTCTTCACCAGACTTCTGTTTAAAAAAAAGAACAAACAAACAAACTCTTACCAGAAAGAAATATCCCTCACTTCACAGCCCCTCCTTATTTGTGTCATGGTGTTTTGATACTACATATGTCTGAGAAACTGTTTACAAGTGTGAAGTACAGGAAACGTGGCAGTAGAGGTTGGACCTTTTCACCAGTGTTCCATTACTTGTTGTTGCCATGTGACAGATGGCAGCAGAGGGCCAGTCTGAGAGAATGGCAGATGACATGGAAGTGCAAATGAAGCAAAGCTGTGTCACTTAATTATTCCTTGTGGAAACTGTGGCACTCACTGACATTCATTGATGGAGGCATGCAGTGAATGTGAGCACAGTGAGGAGTGGGGGGTATGTTTCAGCAGTGGTTGCTTCCACTGGTGCAGATTTTTCCAAGTGTGGCACACAGGCTCTTGTTCATCACTCATTTTCATAGCTAATAGTGGTCACAATGTTTAAAATAGTATTTTGTAGCTGAGAATGTGCTCCATCAAACTGTGTTACTGTACTCTTTGCATCTGTTGTAGTTTCCATGGAAATAGATAGGCATTACTTTTGGTGCCAGAAAGTTGGACTCCCACAGTTTATATGCAGACAACTGTAGAATTTACTTATGCATACTGTTTTTAAAGCTGTGAACAGGTTCAGGCTTCTAGTGGATGGTTAATCACGTAGACCAATTCTAAATATCTGGGATTGCTTCACCATGGAGGAAAATGACATTGTTTACCCTCTGGTGAATTTTGAGGCTTTGTAGGCACAGTAATAAAGTTGCAAAGTGTATTGCAGAAGATGGACTTCTTCAGGTGTTCTCAGTGAGCTTCACTTGTCTTCACTTGTACCAGTTTTAAGTCCTTAACTTAAAACTGGGGACTTAAAACTGGTATAGGAGGCCATGTAGATCACTGAAAGTGAGTAAGAAGGCCTGTTGATTTCTGGCAACCTGTCTTGAACCATCCTATTGGCATATCTGTCTTTCAGAAGTTGGGAATGTGGGATAGTATTAATTTGGAAGATAGGTGAGGTTTTTCAGTCTTTACAGAGACACAGAAGTTAAAATGATATCTTAACGTGGATAGAGTTTAAAATACATACGATATGAAGCTTCACTTCTAAAGCATAAAATCAGGTATTTGTGAGAGGTCAAAGAGTAGAACTTGCAATAGGTTTGTGTTTTAAAAACAGGTTTGCCAGGTGCTGTTGGTCGTTGTACTGCTGGTACTGATTAGGACAATGTAAAAGTTCAGAGCAAATGTCATGGGTTTTTTTTCCCTGAAAAAGAATTTTAATCTGCTAGAATGCTTTGTGGTTTATATGTGTGCCTTCCACGTTAACCACACTGTTGTAAAGGCGGGGTAATACAAATTGTTAGTAGAAACCCCTACCAGAATCCTTTTATATTACTTTAATAAAAGTACTCTATAAACATATCTTGAGTTTCTACTTCTGGTGCTTATGTGGCAAAGGCCTTGACATCTTTTGTGGCTGCATCTGGGGCAAAATGAGCTTTTTAAATAAGGAGACCCTTAATAATGTGCAGTGTGAGTTCTGACTGGATTAACTGGAATTAGTCCTGAGGTTTCTGTGGTTTTCAGCTGCTATCTATCTAGTAAACACGTGTTTTGCTAAGTCACAGAATTGTGAAAGAGTCAAGTTTTCTTGACTCTTTTCTTGGAAAGGGACTCTAGATATCATCTGATTGAATCTTCTGTTGGCAGCAGGGTCTTAAATGCACCGTCCCGCCAAGCCTAGAATGTTTTTCTTGTATGAATTTTTACCACTTGCAGACAATCTTCTACCTTTTGGTCACTCCAAAAGTAATGCCTCCTATTTATTTCCATGGAAAGTACGACAGATACAAAGAGCACAATAACACTGTTTAATAGAGGACATTCTCTGCTGTAAAATTCTATTTTTCAACATGGTCACTACTATTAGCTATGAAAATTAGCGATGAACAAGAGCCTGCATATACCACACTTATAAAAATTTGCAGCAGTGGCGATGACCTGCTGTCACTGCTGCTAAAACATACCACCTACTGCCTCACTATGCTCATATCCATTGTTTGGTCTCTGTAAATGTTAAGCAGGCATCTATGAAGTCAGTGCCTTTTTTCCACCTCAAAGAATTCAGTGATGTGTCTTTCCTTCATCTGCATTTGCATGTCACATGCCATTCTGTCAGACTGCCCTTCTCCGAGCATATTCTCAACTACAAAGTGCTCGTTCATTGCAGTCATCACTGTTACCAATGCAATGAAAAGGAGCCTGCATGCCACACTTGTAACGTCCACATCAGTGGAGATAACCTACTGTCATCACTTCTGAAATGCACCACCCACCACCTCACTGTGCTTATGTCCATTGTTGGTCTTCATATATTTTCATCAAGTCAACTGAATGAATGTCAGCTGGTGCCTTTTTTTTGTACATGGAGGAAATGCAGTTAGGTAACTTTGCTTCATATTCACTTATATGTCAGATGCCATTGTGTCAGACTGCCCCTGTGCTGCCATCTGCATCAGCGACAAAATGTAATGGTGATACGTGGTAAAGTTCAACCTCTACTGCTGTACCACCATCTTCTGCCTCTGATATCATGGCCCAGCATAATAAAATAAGAGGTGTTTCTATCAGTGTAGCCTTTGAGGAGGGCTGAGATTATATATTCTTTGAGCCTTCTCTGGGGTTGATGAGCTCCATTCCTTTGCTGTTTTCTTATGACAGATTCTTCAGCCTTCTGTCCATTTTGCTGAACACGTGCACATGCAAACATGCATTCCCTCTGCCCTGTCCAAAGCTTCTTAAATTTTTTGTTGTCTGTCTTGATTTGGAGATTGTGAAGCTGGATCCTCTGTATTCTGTTGTGACCTAACAAGTGCCTAGTAAAGCAGGATAATCAACAACCCTTGATTTGATTGTTATTCTTAGTGATGCAGCCCAGGTCATGGAAGAAAGAATTATCAGTTGTTTTTAGGTTTTGCTTGTTAGCATTTTCTTCTAGCAAATGTTTTTACTGCTCTGCATTCATTTGTATTGAAATGGGAGAGTTCTAACAAGCTGAGTGGAGATCT